AAGAAAGAAAGAAAGAAAGAAAGAAAGAAAGAAAGAAAGAAAGAAAGGTTTCGCAAGAGCAGAATAAGATTTTTCTGGAATTTGCTCTTTGTTGAACGAAGCATATACCAACAGCACTGAATGATCCTAAGCATTATTTTGGTAGAATGTGAAATTAAGAATATTGTACAATTGTTTTCATACTCTATTATATCTTCTTTTTTCTTTGGTATTGGTATGTACCTTGATATCTTCCAATCTGTTGGACATTGTGTTATTCTTCAGATTTACTCACATAGCTTGGTTGGAACTTTTACTATTTCATTTTCTGTTGCTTGCCATATTTCTATGGATAATTCTATTAAATACTGTAACTTTCCAAACTGGTAATGACCAGAATTAGAAGGCTTCATCTTCTAATACTAAAGGTTCCTCAGTAGAGAAAATCTTCGGAAGTATCTTGGATGTTGATATTTATATTGTATATAATTTCAGGACACTTTTCCCATTGTTATTTCTTTTAGTAATTAAGGCATGAATAATACTCACCAGTTTAGGAAAAGTCACAACCTATGCTGAACCCTTAATGGTACAAAGACATCATAGTTACATTTTTCAAACCTTGTGTCAACCAAATTCTAGGAACACTTCCAGCTTTAAATACACTGTTGAGGGGAAATGCAACCCCATCCTGAACATTTCAGTTTCTCAGTCCATTTTTCTGGTTGTAACTAGCATAATTTCCAAACCTTATAAAACTAATTTTACAACAGTATCTACTCTCCCTTAACCCTGCATTTTTAACATCACTCCAGGGGGTGGTCCCTAGCTATTTGATGATTTTTTATTAGGTCCCTAGCTATATGATGATTTTGGCAATAAAAAGAGGACTTGATCTCTTTCCTCAATCTTTTTTTTTTTAATTTGGTCATCCCATAAATTCTTATTCTTGGAATAGTTTTCATTCTATATATTTAATATTGGCTCTGGCTTAAATAAAGATTGACTCATTGACTGATCATTCTCCTAATAATTCTCACTGTCTTTTTCTAGAGTGTTTCAGGCTTAGCATTTTTGAATATAGAATAATGGCATTGAGAAACCAAACCTTTTTAAATATATAAAATCCAAGTGGCATCAAGGAAATTCATAAAAAATTGTTTGATCTTTTAATAGTAGATCATTGTTATTTAGGTATTCTTTCTTTTTTATTTTATTTCATCTCCTTTATGTTTTACCTTGCATAAACAATAAGCATGAAAGCATTTTTGCAGAATGTTTTTAAGTTGCTATGTAATTATCCAGAAATATTTTTAAAAATATATCAAATAAACCACCAAAACCTGTCTTCAGATGCTATGTTCAACCTCATAGTATCTATTCATTGTGTTTTCAAATATACAAGATATTGTTTTTAATATGTGATTTTTTTTTTAACAGGTAGAATGGATAGAACAGCAAATTGTAAAAATAAGAAGAAAGAGAGATTACAAACCTGTTAGCATGCAGACCATGTTTTTTAATGATCCTAAATGGCAAAGTATGTGGTACATGGTAAGTTCATATAGGCTAATACTTGCACATAAATCTGTCATATTAAACACACTTGTCTTCATACAATTTGTGTAGTAATAATAATAAATATTTGAAACCAAAACATTTGATGTTGCCAAAGTGAAATGTACTCTTACAGTCCTGTATATTAAATTTTATCATGGTAATTGGTAAAGATAATCTATTTTTGAAAAGATACATTTTTGAAAGTTCTATTTATTTAAATACAGCATATAGCTCTTTCATAATTTCTTTCCAGTATTAGAGTAAGAATATTAGTGTGCTTTTTATAATCAGCATTTTTCTATAGCTAAAATATTAATAGTAATTTGGGAAAAAATATGAACTGAATCTGATGTGAATTGTGTTACTAAAATGTGAAGACATTCTAAAAACCTCTGTTGGCCAGAATTTGGCTTTGTAAATATAAATAATGTAAGATCTAAAACCAAACCAAGAAATCTGGAAAACAGAGCAGCTGACACCGAACCGGTTCAGTGTTTAGCCCACCTGCCTGCCCGGGCTCTAGACTGTCCTTTATTCCCTGCGTTTCCCTTCTCAGCTGCTTTGCGCAGCACAGCTGAGGTTGAAAAAGCAGGAAACGAGGATTTTCAAACGCTGCACACCCGACCACAGCTCTTGTCAGCTGTCCATAGCTGATGATTTCTTGCAAAGGCTGCACACACGATTGTCCTCAGTTCAGAGAACCGGCAAATCTCTCCACTGGCTGGTCCTGCCCCTCCCTTCCCACTCACTCCTTACCTGGCATGTGAGCCATTCAACTTGCCTCATTTGGTAAGTTGCTATTTTTCCTCCCCCCCCAACTATCAGCTGTTCTGCTCTGCCAGGAGATTTAGATGAGCTAGAAAGCCAGAAATCCTTGTATTTCTTGCTTTCTAGCAAATCTAAAAGCAAAGCTGAACAAAGGTGGGATTCAAACATTTTTGCTATCAGTTTTGTGGGCGTGGTTTGGTGGGTGTGGCAGGGGAAGGATATTGTAAAATCTCCAGTCAGAGGTGGTATTTGCTGCTTCTCCAAAATACTCAAAATTTCTACTAGCGGTTTTCCAGAACTGGTCAGAACCTGCTGAATACCACCTCTGGAGCCGAACCTTCCTTAGGACTGAAGCTTTTCAGTGCAGACTCAGGTAGTCAATTGCAGATAGATAGATCTCTAAGTTAACCTGTGATTCTGTGAGCAACTCAATCTGCCTGTCTGCTTTGCCTGCTTTGGGGTAAAAGTTGCTCTTTTTTTAATAAAAAATATATATCAATATTTACATACATGATGTGTTGTGAGTTAATTTTGTGAGTTTGCTTGCTAGCAAATTTTATGTGACAGACTCAGATCAGAGGTGGTATTCAGCAGGTTCTGACCAGTTCTGGAGAACCGGTAGTGGAAATTTTGAGAAGTTCGGAAAGCGGGCAAAGACCACCTCTGACTGGAGATCTTACAGTATCCTTTGCCTTCCACGCCCACCAAGCCACACACACAGAACCGGTACTAAAAAAAATTCAATCCCACCACTGACTCAGATAACCAATTGCAAATAGATAGATCTCTAAGTGATTCTGTGAGCAACTCAATCTGCCTGCCAGCTTTGCCTGCTTTGGGGTAAAAGTTGCTCTTTTTTAAAAAAAAAAAATATTTAATGTAATATTTACATACAAGCCATACTCACCTAGTCACATGGCCATCAAGCCACACCCACAAATTTGGCCACACCCACAGAACCGGTTGTTAAGAAATTTGAATCCCACCCCTGTTGCACATGCATTCTTCATGAAGGTATGATGTGCCTTCATATGGTTCTCCAGCTGTGTGCTTCTGTGGGAAACTGGGATAGTCAAATCATTTCTTTGCATGTTGTTCCAGAATATTCTTTACATTCATGACTGGTTCAGTTTTGCCTTTTTTGTTGTATAAGAATTTTTTTATTTCTAATTTCTCTACCTTAAAATTTTCTTGCATTCTTTTTGTTCTTATGTCTTGATATTTTTAAGTTCCATCATCTTTAGTGCCTGATGAATGGCTGATAGATTTCAAATTCAGTGTAATATTTCAGCGAAGGGTTTCAAAAATCTCAGTATTGCTATGTAGAAATACAAATATAATTAATTAAATTCCTTTTTTTAACATTCATATACATATATGTATGTGTGTGTATATATGTGTGTGTGTGTGTATAAAATGTATGTGTATGTATGTGTTTTTGTGTAAAAAAATATGGCAGTGTATCCTTTTTGCTCTAGAAGATTAATGAATAACTTGGCAATGATGATAAACTACAGTATTACCTTTAACCCCAGAAGAGCTCTACATTTACTGCTGAATACTGATTTTAAAAAAATCACATTTTCAAATTCTTTTCTCTTTGTAATTGGATCCTTTGTGCTACCTTTACATTTTTTCTGCCACCCAATCCTGAAATACTTAAAAACTTTGAAAAATGATAATTAGAGTTTTATTTTTTATTAAACCAATGAGGTTAATCATTTTCTTGCTTCTTGTTCTGATGACTGTAATAAATATCATGTAGCTATATCATACTTCTACTTTATTTTTTTTAACGAATCTTATTCTTTGGAATATTTTAGGATGAAACATAAATTCCTCATTCAAATGAAGACATTTTTAAGAGGGTTTTGAATACAAGCTTATCTAGATCCTGCATTCAAATATACATGGCATTTTGCAATCCTAGTATTTCCTTCCTTCCTTAATATTTATAACCTGCCTTAGTTTGAACAAAATATGACAACCAAGTCAGGATAAAAGGCAAAAACAAAAACAAAAGTTGCACACAGATAGTTAAAGTATACAGTTAAAAGCCAACATCTCTATACATTTTCCTGAGGGGGTAATAGATAACCAGATGTCATCAGCATACGATCCTAGCCAGTATCAATTATATAAAATGGGAATGAGCTCCCAAGGCATTCTACACAGGATTTTCTAGGGGACTGAGTGTTGAAAGCCTATAACCACTGATTAGAATCACCTACTACAATAAAAGTTGAACTATTATAAGACAAATGTTCCCATCTTCGAATCCCTTCAGATGGCTCCAGAGATATGCCATAGATTGAACACTTCCAATAGGTCCTTGGATAGACTCATTTTATCTGGGTCCTGATGAAAGTCATTGACCAGAGTGATCAATGCCATTTCTGTCCCATAACCACGAAAAGATGAAAAAGATCCAGAAACTTTATTTCTGGTATGGATAATTTACCATTACAATCTCAGATACACTGACAAGAAGGGAAGTTGGAAACAAGGTAAACTTTATCAAAAAAGAGCTGGGGTAAAAAAGACTTTTACAAAGCAGATGGCCCTTTAAAACTGCTTTGCAGAATTTTCAGTTGCAGTTGCTCAAAGCTCACACCAAGCCATCTGAAGAAACCAGAAAGCACATGGCTTGATGTTGTAAATCAGGGGTGTCAAACTTGATTTCAATGAGGGCTGCATCAGAGTTGAGTCTGACTTTGGGGAGACAGGGTGGGTGTTGGCCATGGTGGGCTGGTGAGCTCAACATCACTCATGTTGGGTGCACCTATGGTAGCCTGAGTGCTCTACCAGCAAAAACAGGCTGCTGAGCTCCATTTTCAGTTGTGACAGCTTCCTGCAACCCTCTGCCAGTGAAAATGGAGCTTGATAGGGCCACCTGCAGCCCTCATGAGCTCTGTTTTTGGCTGTGATTGCATTCTGCAACCTTCTGCCAGCTAAAACAGAGCTCGGGAGGCTGCAGGTGACCCTCCTGAGCTCTCTTGTTGCTGGCAGAGGCACTAAGGGTCGATCCTTTGCTGTTTCCAGAGTGACCCCACAGCCAGATCTAAGCACCCCATGGGCTGGATCTGCTTATGAGTTTGACACCCCTGTGGTAGATAGAAGAATTCAGCCTGTCTTCTTCAGCTTTCACAAAGTCAGAATAATCTAAATTAGAACATAAGAAGCCGCTTCTGTTATCCAACCCAGAATGAATATCAGCAAATTTATTTGTTGTGCTACAAATGTTTTATCATTTCCATTTTTCCCTTAAAAGGTCTTGGTCCTGCTAAACAGTGCTTTTAAATGGGAATGCACAGATGCAAAATCTGCTTTTAGAAGAATATACTTTTTCCTGATCTTTCGACATGAGCTCTTAACAATCATCAGTTGTTTCTACTTTTTCTGTCTTTGCTTCTTTTAAATTGCTTCATATCCCTCCACTGCTTAGTAAACCAAGGAGCTGCATTGGATTTCCTGGCATATGTCTTGCGGCAGCAATGCAACCCCCCACCCACCTCTGTATTTTCCTGGCATTTTAAGAACACAGTGCTCTTTTTAGGGACATTTCAGTGAAAACTGTATTAAATCCCAGATTGATTCCATGGAGCTCTACAGCCTTATGCCCTTGTCCGCATTCTCATTCTCTTCCCGATCTGTCATAATCTCTATTTTCACCATGTACTTTGCAACCCATCTGCTGCCTGCATTCTCCCGCTTTTGTTTTCTCATTCTCCCTTTTACTTTTTCAGTCTCTTCATTTTTAATCTTTCCATTTCCTCTGCACAACTAGCAAAATACCTCAAAGCAAAAGATTGTACTAACATGCAAAAACTAATCCTGGATCTAGCAGACTAATTAGGAATTATTTCTTAATCTCTCATATGCCTAGATTAATGGAAAGGAAAAGGGGACAGTAAAGGATAGAATTTATGCCTAATCTCCATATATCATGGTATAGGATCAGTAAAAAAGATATCTATACATAGTCACTAGTTGTTCATACATCATATTAGGGTATCATATGCTAGCTTGGTTTTGTTTTAATATGATATACATAATATGATATGATTTGTAACCAATGATTAATTTCATTAATCAGCTTTTTATATTGCTTTTCACTTGAAAACATTGAAGTATCTTAGAATGATACAGCAAAATAAGTAAAACTACTACAACATGTTATACAAGGGGCTACCCCGAGGAGCATTCAGAAACTTCAACTGATGCAG